GAATGTCTGTAAGTAATCAATATTTGATTTACAAACAAAAAGTGTGATTGATTTTCTTACTTTTGATTGAGCCCTTTCACAACTGAATATTGCAGTAATAACATTTTACTGATACTACCTGAACAGGTAAAATAAGTATCAGAGCTTGGTTTGCCCAAGTACTTACTCACCATCTCTCTTAACCATCAACCATTTTTTTTTAGATATGAGAGTCATTGCCTTACAATAAAAACTGTGTGTGGTGTAAAACTATACATTTTCTGACTTTGGACTCCTCCACCTACTCCTACTCCTCCTCCTCATCATCATCATTATCATAAGCAGCAGTCCCATAACTTAGTTTTGGTTGTAAGGTTTCTGTGCATGTGCAATTGAGCTCATGACCAGTTCCCTCCATATGTCTAAGTTGCATGCTAATATCTGAACTTCTGCAAACAATATTTCAGTTCACTCAGTGATGATGTTAGCCCATGTTTTACTCCCTCTACCAGTGGCGTAGCTAGAGTAAACGTTACCCAGGGCGGTCCGCTCAAATGTTACACCAATGACCTGATTCACCCTATGCTGAATGGTTAGCTGTAGCTAAATTTTCATACATGCTCTACCTCTACTTTACTCTACTGACCGGTACGTTACTGTTTACATGTATGATCCAAGATAAAATCCAATACCACAAAATAATCAGTTCAAATCAAAAGATTTTTAAAATGCAACTGTTCACTTTCAGAACAACTAAATACAAAACATGGCAATACACAAAAGAATGACATTCGATACTATGATCTTAGAATGAATGTTTTCTTGTTTTCATTGTGGCAAACTGGTCTATGACATCATCAAAATCTGTTTGTCTTGTAAGCTCGTTTTCAATGGACAGCACAGCCAGATCCGACAATCTCGACATTGTGTCACCCCTCCTGTGCTGGCACCCAGGGCTGTCCGCCCCCCACCTCGCCCCCCTATCTACGCCACTGCCCTCTAGCTCTTCTTTTTCCCAAGGTGGTACCTTGTAGAGTGGTTGTGCAATGATTGTTGACTTTTACAATATGGCCACAACTTTTCAACTTTCAATTTTAATTGCACTGTTATTTTATATCAGTTTTCTCCATGGATCAATTCTGGATTAACAAGTAAGGAGCATTCATTAGTTATCAAATTTTTAAATTCAATATTGAACAATATTTTTACCAATGTTAAGATAAGGTAGCAACATCCATAAAGCCTCCACTCTCACTAGCAATCATGTGTCTTAACATTGGTAGAAATATTGTACAAGATTGCTAGTGCAGGAAAAATTAGAATTTAAACATTTGATAACAACTGAAAGCTCATTACAATCATAGCATTTTGAGGTTGGAAAATTGTACATCAGGCCGTCATAAAGCAACACAATGACTGGCCTAGTCATTGTATTGCTTTATAACACATGAGGTTATTGAGGATGAAAGACAATAGAATGAAGGAATCTGAGAAAATGCTACTGAGGATAAAGTACAATAAATAGAACAGGATTCAAGGAGAGAGAAGATAATGATTGAAGTTGTATTGAAATTTTTGAGGAATCATAACTAATAGGAAAGCAAAACAAGTGCAAAAGAAGAAACTATTAGAATACAACTTATGGTTATATTTAATAATTTTAAAGTCATGAGACCTAATTTCCAAACTATTACTATGCTTAAATTCATGAAGCCAATGTATCAAGGAGTAAAACTCATGAGAAGAATTGACATGAAACTATTTGTAGAAAAGGCACTGGGAACCTATATTAAAGCTGAAGGAAAGTGATTGAATCCAAGATATCAGATCAGGACTGAAAACTTTGCAGATGCTTCAGATTTTGTCAAGAAAAAAAAGCACCAGACCAGATGTAGCAACAATATTCAATGCACATCCATTCAGCCTTTAGTTTCAAAGGCAATCGTGAGTGTTAACACCACCCAGTGTTTAAATTCAAATCTATAAAGTGTTTTTCTGCTTCTTTTTTTTTTTTCATCACATTGTCAAATTTCTGTGGTCCTCCAATTGACTTTTCAAATAAGTTATCTGAGTGTCCATTCTTTGATATAACATAACTGGAAGTCTACTCTAGGACTGATTTTCTTTTTGTAAAGTCATCTTAGAGGTAGGTCTTTGCCATTTTAAATTCTTGTTTGAATTGGTCAGTTGATTTGTTTTCTTTTTCTTTGTCTCTTCATTGAAGTAGCTATACCATCTGACCTTCCCTTTTGAATTTTTTTCTTTTTCTAGTTGACATTCCTGAAGTATTTGAGGGTTTGAAGTTGAGTTAAATTTCACATTTGAATCATTCATCATCTTGATTACAATTAATCTTAATATTTTATGGCCATGGTGTTTTTGTTTTTTATTTTCTTTCCTTTTTTACTCTGCTTCTACTGGCCACTCACTCTTGATTCTAGGGAACGCCCCCACCCCCACAACTACCTGTTTCCACCTCTTCCTCTTAATATACTAAAATGTTAGTTAAACATGGCATGATCTAAAAGTTTTGTGGGCCAGCAATCAACTTTCCAAATAAGTTATCTGAGTGTCCATTCTTTGATATAACATAACTGGAAGTCTACCCCAGGACTGATTTTCTTATTGTAAAGTCCTTTTAGGGCTAGGTTTCTGCCATTTTTAACACTTTGTTGAATTTTTAATGAACATCTCAACTTTAATTAAGTTAAAACTTAATACCTACTAGCAGTAGAGCCTGGCGCTGCCTGGGGATGTAACAGTAAGAGATAGATCAAGTAACGACCATCATAAAGACTGAAAAATAAAATTGACAAAGATTATTGTTTAAGGCTGACGGACACGCAGTGTTTTTTTGTTTTGTTTTTTTTTACGAATTGGTCAAACTCAAACAAAAACATTGTTTTCAATCGTTATGAGTCTACCGATTGAATAGAATTTTATTATAAACAATTGTCTTGTAAATGGAATTTTTAAAGATTTTGAATGTAAAAATAAAAGAAAAAAGTGTGCAAGACAATAAGAAACACTACCTGCCAAAAAAAAGTGAAGTTTTGTTGAAATCGGTTGAAAAATGTAGGAAATCCGATCCCATATATAAAGGAACACACACACACACACACACACAACCTGGGTTTTATAAGTATAACTAGATATGAGGTGTCCCACTTTCATTCTTGTGATGGCTCTTAATCGTGTTTTCAAATTGATTTCATGCAAAAACAATTGTTTTTCAAATTTTTGGCACTGTCAGAACCACCGCAAGGTAATTTTACATAGTCCTGTGAAGTTTTGTTGAAATCGGTTGAAAAATGTAGGAAATCTGATCCAATATATAAACATACAGACACACACACACACACACACACACACACACACACACACACACACACAACCTGAGTTTTATAATAAGTATGATTTCTTTTTTAATAGGAGTAGATAGTTCCTTTCCTTTTCTCAGGCATTAATAATGATGCTGTCATGAAGTTTTTTTGTGATATGCATGGATGGTGGCAACGTCTTTTCATTCTGAGGATACCATGCTGGCAGTTTTCTGGTTGCTGCTCAAATTCTTGTGTAGCATTTTGATCAGTAGTCACATAATATTGGGGTTCTTGCAGTGCCATGTCATGTATGGAAAAGTGTACCTGCAAGCACCTCTGGTGGGCAACCTTGCAGCCACATGTGTTGCAGTCTGTGCCAGTTCCCTTCTCACACATGTTACATTAAACAACTGACTGATACTACTACCCTAGGCCTTTCCTTACTAAAATAACACACCCTGACTGTAAGCAACCAAATATACAAAAAACTAACTGAACAAAAAACACCTAACCCCCACCCCAACCTTTCTTTCTCCAACAATTGTGGTATTCATACCAACTTCCACAGTGTGGAATCTTTCCTCTTTGTAAAATCTCCAGACATCCTAGCTTTCTGTGAAACTAATTCTAAATTTCTCTGGTTTCTCAATTCCTGGCTATCTTTTCCCTTTTGGAAGGATTTTAATGTCTACATGCATGGCTTGGGAGTTTATATCCATGATCATCTCTCACTGTCTAGTAAGCCTTCTCTTGAATGTCTAGATCATTCTTACATATGTCTCCATCTCTCTCTACTTAACTCAGTCAGTTATCTCTTCTTTCTTCACTATTCCCCTTCCTCTCATGTCAATAACATGCTAGATAGTATTTCTGATAAAAGGTGATCTCCCTACACCCATTTGCAAAAAATATTTATGTTTGGCAACTTTAATGCCTGCCATGCAAGGTGGCTTAAGAAATCCATCACTGACCTTGCTGGCATCCATACCCTGGACTTTTCAATCACTCAATCTCTCCTGCAAGTGGTGAAGACTTCCCCATGTATTTCCCCAGTAAACCTGATGGATATGCTTCTCTTCTAGATCTCTTTTTTACTTCTATCTCTGACTCATGTCATAGCATGCAGCTCTGCCCTCTTGGCAACTCTGAGCATATGGTAGTGTCTGTAAAAATCTGATTCATAATTTGTATCTTTCTCTCTTAGATGCTAAAATTCATTTTAATTAGGCATTTTGACAAACAAATAAAAAATGTAATAAAGATCAAATACAGTTGGGATTAAATTATATCAAATTATTACTGAAGCATGAACAAAACATTTATTTTTAAATCTTTCGTTCATTTCTTCCTTAAGTAATATGCATGATTCATGTTTGGATGGTCATGTCTCTTTTTCAATTCATGATTGTTTTGGTAGAAGAATTCTCACACTGGGAGAAGAAGAATTGGATTTGTACCTTTCCCAAAGATATTTGCATGCAAGCAAATGTAATGAACTCAACTGAAATTCAAACTTAGCTCTCCAATTTCTTATTCTGAGCTGTTATCTATTACACCATCTACATATCCAAGTTTACAGCACCTGGTATTTCCAATTGGTATTACCAGGTTCAATGTTGCTTAACTTCGATGATCGTACGAGAAGCAGTGTTTCAACGTGATGTTTCCGTAATCATATACGGCACTCACACATCCAAGCTTACAGCCCCTGGTATTCCCAAGCAGTCACTCATCTTGGTATTGACCAGGTTCAATGTTGCTTAACTTCAGTGATCATATTGAGAACTGGTGTTTCATTATGATATGGCCAAAAGAATAGAATAGAATAGTGAGGCAGGACATGGCTGTATGAATTCTTTATAACTGAGTTTTGTCTAACCTGGGTTTATATCTTTGTTACTGTTAGAAGACATACAACCACACATAATCAATACTGCATTAAAATCAATAATGTTACACAAAAGATGGGATTCATGGTAGAGAAGATAACAGATAAGGTAATTGAAAAACTCTTGGTGTACTATGCCAACTGAACTGTATTAATTTGAGCAAATTCTTTCAAATATATAAAAGCAAATCATTTCTTAATACACTTGTCAGTATTGAAAGACAATTCCTTTTAATATTTATTATAAAATTAAGTAAATGATTTCAAATCCCCCAAAAAAGTGCCATAAATATAGGTACCTCTAAAAATTCACTAAAAGGAGGATACCTGAAATAAAGAAACTCTTAAAATATAAAAAACAAAATTTTATCATCAAAACCTTTGTGTTATTAGTAAGAGGGAAGATTAAAGTATTTTTTGATGTTGATTTTTTTAAAATCCTTTTTAGAACCTTGAAAAATTTGGTTAAAAATCTGGTTTTTCCAGTGTGAATTAAATTTGTGCAGGAATTTTGTGCAACATTTGCAGCGAAAAAAACATTGATTTGGAAATTCTTACAAAAATCAAATAATTATCAATTTTCAATGAAACTTTCAGAACTTCACAAATGAATGAAATTATTTGTGAAATGTTTCTTTTTTTGAAAATCTTGGTAAAAATATATATATTTTTTACCTTTGTTACTTATCTCCCCCCCACACACACATTTAATTTTATGACATTTCAAGAAATTCTTTTTTGTATCACTTAATGTTTATATCTGTTGTAAGGATAATTCCTCAAAGAATTTAAATCATCATTTTTTTTTATCAAACAGGACCCCCAGTTGCAGAAAGTCTGCTCTGAATCATAAAATAAAAAAATAAAATAAAACTAAGACATCATTTAATTAGAAAAGCTTTTATGAATAAAATATGTTATGGAATATCAAAAAAATGTTTTTTGATGAATAATGAATTTTTACAGGAACTGTCTTCATTTTTTTAAAAATCTAATTTGAATAATTTTAAACTTGCACAATTTTTTAAATTCTGTATTAATTTGTAGCAGCCACATGGTATTATATAATATTAAATTAAAACTGTATTTACTAACAAAAAATAAACACGCTTACTACAATATGATGACCCACAGTATTTTAAAAAGAAGTTTTTTATGCATGTATAAATGTGTTGATTTTGGGAAATATGGCTGTCCATGCATGACATTCTCAGAAAATTAGAGAGATACCTATAGTGATTTTAAAACTTTTCTCAGCAACCATCTTCCTAAAGGCTATAAAACTAAAATACCAACAATAAAATATTAGAATGCTTAAAATATGTAAAATTTTTAAGATTACTTGGTAATTAAAAAAATATATAAGAAAAGGTGTTCACGTTTTCATCATGTAATTTTTCCAGTTATTCTCTGCTTTAGCTAAATGTCCTAAATATCAGACAATCAATAAATTACTCAACACATCAAAAAACAAAAAAGAAGTTTTTCTGCAATATTTTAAACTAAAAGTAAGTAATATTTACTTCAATGCAGATTAATTAAACTTTAAATCAGCTATTTTTCTAAAATAACATTTTAAAAAAGTATATTTTATTTTTGAATGATTTTTAAAAAAGAGAATTATGTTAACATATATAATATATATAGGTAGCATATCTTAGAGATATGCTATCTATCTATCTATATATATATATATATAAGAGTTATGCTACATATATATAGATATATAAATAAGAGATATACTATATATATATATATATATATATATATATATATATATATATATCCATAATAAACATGATAAGAAATATGCTCCCTATATATATATATATATATAAGAAATATACTACATATATATAAATATATATATGTATCCATAAATATGATAAGAAATATGCTATATATATATATATATATATATATCCATAAATATGATAAAAATATGCTATATATATATATATATATCTCCATAAATATGATAAGAGATATATACCTATATATATATATATATATATATCTCTCCATAAATATGATAAGAGATATATATATATATATATATATATATATATATATATATATATATATATATATATATATATCCATAATAAACATGATAAGAAATATACCTATATATATATATATATATATATATATATATATATATAAATTCTATATATATTTTATATATGTCCAGTCATCTATAACATATCTTTAGGTTTGTCACACTACCTTCTGCTCATGCATGCTTATAGATGATTATGATCACATGATTGAAGTTTGAGCTTGGTTGTGCAAGTTTTCTTGCTGCTGTTACAGTATAAACATCGCCGCTCTGTTAGCAGTGTGCACCAAGGAGGAACAAAGACCAGTGATTCGATTACTTTAGTCAGAATTTTTGTCATGTGCTGAAATTCATCAGAGGCTTTTAACACAATAGGGTGACAGTGTGCTACAACATAAAAGTGTGTATGAGTGAGATGAAGAAGTTTTAAAATGTCTGGACAAGGATGACACACAAAGAAGGAGCAGGACACCTGTCAACCACCCCCACTGATGAGAAAATTCAGCAAGCTCAAGAGATGATAATGGTAAACTGTCGTGTTACCATTGATGAAGTAGCATGTTCTCTGCAGATTTGAATCACTGGTCTTTGTTCCTCCTTAAACACATGACCACAATAGTACCAACTATAAGCACACATGAGCAGAAAGCAGTATGACAAACCTACAGACATGATATGCCAAAAATGTGGATAATTTTTGACTTAACCTCATATATGACAGTACCTACATAAATAATAGCAACAAAATCTACCAATATGTCAAACAATAATTAATATCAATTTTAGTGAACATGGATAAAATCTTATTTTTTAAGTATTATCTATCTAAGGCTCTTCTTATCTAATTATCAAATCTGTCTAATGTAAAGTTGTATTTTTTAGTGGTCAATACTCAAGTAAATTGAATATGAATAATTCCTATGTTCATGCCTAGGGGAGACTAATAATAATCTCCACTCTTCACATGTTCAAATTACCACTACATTTCCCAGAAACTAATGTGTTTAATACCCCTGCTAGGTCAAGTTGTTCTTTCACTGTTTCTCTTTTTTTCTCTTTCCTTTCTTTTTCCCTTTTGTAAGATCTTGATTGAGGTGATTACAATCATTCTCTATTATGGTATGTTTCAGGTTTGTCATCACTTATAATAATGTCTTCATTGGCCAATAGATTCTCATGCAGATGTTGTTAACCATCTTGGTTCATGCTTTTAGAAATATCATTTTGTGTATAGGAATTTGTTTACCAAGGCTCTGGTACATGATATGCCTTATTATCACTGATCTTGGCCCCAATCATTAGGACTATTGACAAAAAGTTCTTCACTTCTTGATATTCTATTCTTGGTCTAATTTGGCCATCATGTGCTACTGTGCCACACACATTTCTTATTATTATCACTGTGTTACAACCCTTCTGCATTATAAACTGTGATCTTTCTATAGTCAATTCTTTGTCTCCAATGTACATCTTTTTATTTGTCAAGTAAGATATTTTGAAAGGCATACAAATTTGTCATCCCATTAAAGCTTTCTAAACAGCAGGCATATGGAATAGTATAATAGCTTCTTCTATTTTATGTGCTGTTTCCCCTCAGGATGTAGGCAATCATGGCCCTCCATAATTTCCTGTCTTTTGTAGCTCTTAATAAATTTTGTCTTTTTGTTATTTCTCTGTGATCCTGTTCCACTATCCATTTACTCAAGCTCACTATGTCATGCATTGTTTTTTTTATGTCCCTTTTGCCTTCAGTCTGTCCTGTGAGTATCAGATTTTCCAAGCCCTCTTTCCTTATTATGTTCCTTAGAAATTTCAAGTATCTCTTCTTGATGTTAAATATAAGTTTCCTTTATGTTTTCATTTTCTCTAAAGCTTCATGGTCCTTGGTATCCTAAGCATTATTCTGTAGAACCAAAATTATGTTGCTTTCAATTCTCTTCTTTGTCTTTGAGGAGATTGTCTGGCATTTACTGCCATATAGGAGGACACATATCACATAATAGTTCAGTACTATTTTCTTTGTTTCTAACAAATTACTTGAAATATAAAGCTTTCAATTTTATTGCAGTGAGAAGAGAATGCTTTCAATCCCATTTTTACTATTTGAACCATTCTTTCTACAATTCTGTTCATTTGTGGATGAAAGATGTTTTATATGAGACACAACCAATATTCCTTAATCAAGAAAAGATTTGTTCACCACAAAATTCTCGAATATTAACTGATTCTAAACACTGTGGCTTTCCATTAAAAGAAAATTACTCACACTATTTGCTTCAATTCTATTGGGAATCCAAATAAATTAAGGCCACCTGGCAAAAGAGTCTACTAAAATAAGTAAAAGTCCAATACTATTAGCATAAGCTTGGTCCATGTGAGCATGTGTTTAATTTGCCAGTTTTTATGGATCTTACTATTACCCCACTATGGTCAACTTGTGTTCGTATCTGCAAAATCTCTATCTTAAGACTATAACCATTTTGTTCCTGTTATACGTATCAACAATTTCTAATTGTTCTTCTCTGATATCTTTCTTCTTTTATGCACTTCAGGACGTACACGATCATGGTCCTTCACATTTTCCCATCCCTTGTAGCTATTAATAAATTTTGTCATTTTGTTATTTCTCCCAAACAATGTTCTAGCATCCATCTGCTTCAGCTACTATCAAGTATGTTACATGCTGCATTCCTCTGTCCCTTTTTCCCCTCAATCTGTCCTGTGAGTGTCAGGTTTTCCACGCTATCCTTCCTCATTACGTGCCCCAGAAATTTCAACTGCATCTTCCTGATGTTAAGAATAAATTTCCTTTTTGTTTCCATTTTCTCCAAAACCTCGTTGTTGCTCACATATTCAGTCCA